TCCCGAATTGCGAAGTGAATCCTCTTTCCATCCCGTTTCTGTTCTGAAGACATTCTCAAAAAGAGACCGTACCGGAAAGGAATTCTTTCGTTCGTTTTGAACAGATCACGCCAGTTCATAAAAAATAAATCCTTTTCGAGCTTTTGACGATCACCTGTGCTGTCTGGGCGGTCAACTTTTGTTCGATACCAATGCGCGAAAATTAGTTCAGGTTCAGGTTCAGGTTCTGTGAAACGCGCGGCAGGCGTGTACGAAAATAAACAGTTTGCCGACAAGTGCGCGGGGCGATTCTGAATCTCGATAACGTTACAGTTCGTTTATCCGAGAACGCCATATGCGATGCGATTACCGTAAATGGATTCAATATCGATAAAAATACGCTTAAGTTACGGCATCCGCGATATCTGTATAGGATTATATCAAGCAATCGAATTACATCAAGTGTAATCTCGTGATAAGGCAGAAAGTATCGCGTCGTTTCGCCGCAGTATGTTTATCACGAGGAGTACGCTCTCCAGACTCTCCCATTGATTAAACAGCGCAGAACGGCCCGATAATCAAATTTACGAGAGGAACAGATTTTATCAGATTCACGAAGAGGAGAGAGAGAGAGTTCGCTTGTAGTCACCAGTGACGATTAAAAATTAAAACGGGAAACTTGTAGTCAACCCAACTGACATATTCCTTTATTTGTTTAATACAACGTTTCGATTCTATTCTTTGGGTCCTTGTCAAGTAATACTAAGTGAGTCATCGTCGTCACATAAGACGGAGTCGAATCATAAAAATACGTGTACACGTGTGGCACTGTGGCTGCTGGGCTCGAATGTTCGGGCTACAAGTTTCCCGTTTTAATTTTGTATTAAATTCCTTTTTTAGTTCCACGATAAAACGGTCGCGAGAAGACTTCATACAGCGCGATTCCTTTTGTTCAGCCTAATCTGCAGTGTGCTCTTTGCGTCTACACCCACAGAAAAAATTTCCGGATCCAATGCTGTTGCACTTGAATGTATCATAAAATAGGATCGATGTAGCGCCAATCGTATGTGTTGTAGAGAAAGGAATTATACTTTAATCTTAAAATTCTGAAATTTAAAATAAAATGACAGTATGTGTCGTTTTTTTTTGTGGAATATCGTGTTGCCAACTTCGTGCGTTGTAAGATGGGGGAAAATTTATTCTAAACTTACATTTATTCAAGTTACTCTCGTCTCAATGTAGTCTTTTTAACTTCGATAGAGGAGAATAAGAATTATTGATTCTATTTTGATATTGTCTTATTTTTATACTAAATGAGGTTGTGAGAAATATAAATGCGTCAAGAATATTTTCTGTCTCAGTAACGGAAATCCTTTCTGCGGGTGTAGAAACGTTCTATCGTGTAGCACTGAAAAACCGTAGCTATAATCATGGCTTGCTAAAAATATTTGGCTGCCGAAACTATAAATTTCTAAAGCACAGCAAACGGTTTGCCGTAGCACCTAATACAATAGGCACAGTAGCAAAATATTTGGCTATCCCAACGAAATATTAGCCGTCTATATTTTACAACTGAAATTCAGTTGCCACAGACAGTTTTCAGCTACGGCAGCTACAGTTTTCTCTCCGCGAGTCAATAAATACGCTTAAAATGTTGGATAAATTGTATATTATACACTGTACAATCGTACGTTGTCGACAAATTTTGTAAGCGTCTTGATTTGCTTATATAAACTAGAATGTTTTCAAACGCAGAGGGCACATTGTAGATCAGGCTTTCAGGATCGTGATCTCTGTAACGATCACGCACGAGTTACATCATTTCGCGTGCACGTGACACACTTCTCGTGCCAAAGAAGCTGGCGAGGGTATTTTTTAAGTAATTCCCCCGCAATCTTTTTTGTTTTATTTCGTGACGAGTATGCGAATTTTGTAATCGTCGCCGATTCGAGAGCGATCTTCGAGTTTCTCTTCAACGTGATCGGCTCTTCGTCGACGACACCGGCAAATAAAGCGATCGCGCAAATGCGATTATGACGGCGCGGGTGAAACATCCGCAAACTCTTGCGTGTAGTCTTTACGACATTCGCGAGACAATTTGTCACGAGAAGCTAACGTCACACGCATAACTCGAGGTCGAAGATTAATTGGCGAGCGATCTCGTAATCGAGCGCCCGTACGCGAGTCCTCCTTTTGACTGCAATATCAAAAATCAAATATAACTGATAATTGAAAAACGTTATCTGTCGAAACGTGTGTCCGAAACGCGTGACTGAGCACTTAAATATCCGCTGTTACCTTGGCAGAGTTACTTTCACATTTTTATTTACAGTTCACGTTTTTTTGTTTTTTTAATATCTTATAACTCAGGATTATCTACAATATTTTTATTTCTAATTCAGAAGCATTAGATTTATATCTCTACTTATTTTGTTATTAGAGTCACCGAATTATTTCCAATTTTAAAAAGGACCCGAGGCGAAAATCTAAGTCATACACAGTTGGAAAATTTATGTTTTCTTGTTAAAAGAAATGCCCGTTAAAATTTTTGTGTTAAATGGTTAACACATTCATGTGTTAATTTAACAGATTGCTCTTATGTTAATTGATCTTAAATGTAAAATTATTAAAATAACTGAAAAGAAATGTTAAAACAACACAATGTGTACTTATTTTGTAATCTTACACAATACATATGTTCTATATTATTAGTAACAAGATTTATCTGTTAAAATTTACAGAATGAAATGTTGATTTTATTCTATATAACATAAGAGAGTGATCTCGGACCATTTGGCTTATTACATCTGGGCCTGGATAGATCAGTTGGAAGAGCAATCGCCTGGCAAGCTGAAGGTCCTAGGTTCGAATCCTAGCTCGTTACTTTTCTCGCCGAAAAATAAGTGGCGTGTCTTATTGTTAGTGCCTACCTCCCCGAAGATACATTCCTATTTATTATGAAATGTAAAAATTACATTTTTAAAATTAATTTTGTCATTAAAAATATGTTAAGTTTACATAAAATTTATGTTAAATGATTTTGAGATTTGCATTTATTTTGTGTTAAAATATTAACAGACTATTAGTGTGATCCTTTAACTGACTTTAACATATCCATATTATGTTAAATTAACACAAAAATTTGTGTGGACCGTTTGGAACATGTGATATCTGTTAAATTTAACACAAATTTTTCAACTGTGTATAAATTAACTACGACATACGCGCATCATCTGTTGGTTCTACCATAAATTTATTGCCCTTGGAGTGGAAAATTCATTCTTAGATCGTGTAATCGTTGCGAAAAAAAAGATTTGACGGTTCGAATTTGGACGTTGAAAACTCACTGTCTCATATTAGACTCCTATCTCATAATAGAGGACTCTCCTCTATATTTAAATGCCACAAGTACATATACACAACGCTTATATTTCGAGCATTTGCATAACACAGATGTTCGCCTCGGGAAATGCCCACGTTTCGAAAACTTGAAATAGAACACGACGATTTAATTCGCTGCGTTATCAACGATGATTTAGCGTTCCGCATTCGTACACGTTCGGCGACGATGTTCAAGTTTCTGAGTCGGCAAAAATCAAAACACAGTTCTCTCGCTTCCTCCGATACGCAACAATGTCAACTTCGGTAACATACTGTTCCAGAACTCCTCGGTAACTTTACGACGATTCTGAAACCGTACGTCACGTAACTGTTTATGCAATTACAAAGAGCATGACGGAATCGAATTTGACTCATATCGCTGCCAAATCGAGACACAAGCTTCGCATTGGCGAAACTGGTTTCGCGAATAAATATCTTCCTGTTAAAGTAGCCGCGGGCACAAAGTCCGCGTTTTAAAGACGTCCATCATGTTCGTCCCGGCTCGAAATTATATCCTGACAATTACATAACAATTGCAAAATTATATAATTGTCAGGATGGCCAGGATTATTTTGCAACTTGGACATTCTCGCGTTTAATTCCACTCGAATTAATACGATACGCATATTCTCGTTCTCGTAGTGAAGATAAAAGGGGAAATTTCATTTACATCTTGTCGATAAATGTGCCTTTCTGTCACATTTAGGCACATTTGAACTAATGAAAAGATATTTTTGGGACACGCTCCCCTGTAAACACAGGAAATGTCGGGATAAGATATCGGCAAATTAAAGATTAATGTAACTGCGTGTACGTATTGTGTCCGTGTCTACCAACGCTTTAATTTTAATCTCGGTTTAACTTAATTTATATCTCTTTCTAGTTTTGCACGAATTAAAAAGTTTAAACCGAGACGAAAGTTAATCTGCATTGGTAGAAACGGGCATTGGAGCTTCTTCGAGATTTGTTCCCACCAAAAATGTAGAAAAGTTTTCTCCAAAAGTAAAAAGGGAGAAGAGAGCTCGTAAAAAGTTTATAGAAGGCTGTCTCGAGGACTTAAATACAGAAGTCAACTGACGGAAGGTCGATTTTATTTTTAGAGTGTAACTTATCTATAAAGATAAAAATACAGTAAGATAAAAGTGTCAATAGACTACACAATAACTTAGGACCTTTGTCACGTGTTATGTACTGTGTACACAACGGCCAAATAGGAGGGAACAAAGAGCAAAGAATATCTGGACAAAGACGTAAGGAAAAACTCCGACGGGACCCGTTCAAGGCTTTTGATGGATCATTCTTATAGAAACGGATTTTGTGCTTGCTTATTCAATCGTCAGCGTCCGCCTTTCGTGATAAAAGAACCTCTCGCATTCTTCATCGAAATCCGAGGAATTACCGCTCGCGCAGGATCGAGATCGTCGTCTAAATAAATCCCGATCCGTCGCCGATTTCGCGTTCGTCTCACGCGCTTTTGTCATCTCCGCATTAATTATACACAGAATCGATAAATCACGGAAAGAACTTGGACGATGGTCGTTTCAACAGAGACAATTCAAACGCATTTCTCCTCTTCCATGTTTGCGGCGACGACGATTGATTTAATGGGGGGACTTGTCGATAACGCACGGTATACTTACCTCAATGAATAAGGATCCATTCTTTCTTCTTAATCGCACTCGGTAAATATCGGTTGACACGCACGTCTGCGTGTATGTTGGTACGTTTCTTCTCCCTCTTGCTGATTGGTGCTAGTCGAGTAGGCGTCTCCCTACGAGTAGGCTCTCGTCAACTCTGCCCGGCGTTGGCCAACATTTCGTAGTCTGAAATCACATCACAGCCCGAATTATTAAAAGTATAACATTGCCACGTGACACGGCGAAGTCTAATTATTATACAGGGTGTTATGTAATACCCGCATCAACGCTTATTGTGGGATAGAGTAGACTAGACTAAGTCGAAAAGTCCTCTACCATTTTGCAATTTTCGCAAAAGTCAGCGAGTTATTAATTATTAAAAATCGCTGTTTTAGGCCGGCCCACTGCCCAATTCAAACGTGCGGCGAGATCGATCGATCGTTACAACTCTCTGCGCGCCTAGTAACGATCGATCGATCTCGCCGCACGTTTCAATTGGGC